TCAAAATCATTGTGAGACAGAAACTTATATTGAATCAGCTTATCCGATTTCTAATGACAATGTATCAGACATGGTTTCTCAGAACAATGCATGTTATTTTGATGAAATTTCTCATAAAAATCAGGAAAATATATCAGCTGAGTCAAATTATGGTCAAAAGTCTAATTTAATTTTGTTAGATGATGATTTCCGTAATGATCCATTATCCACTGATGAAATTCCTAATGGATTTGAAAGTAATGCTTCAGAAGAATTAAACTTTGACCTCAAATCAAAGGTCGTTCATTATCATCTAGTCGTTTCTAGTGGATCCGACATTCAATGCAAGAAACGTCGTTTAAATAAAGTCCTATTATTTGTAACTTGGATATATAAGGATCCGACATTGTTTCGCGGAGGAGGAGAATGTTGGAGAATTAAAAGTTATGCATACTTTTTTTAAGAAAAATCAAAACGCCGGGAACAGACATGTCAGTCTCTGTGCAAGGAAAAAGTGATAATTCTTCATTGCCTAGACGATGGACTAATCGAAAGCACAAGCCAGTCACTCAGTTGCAGTTGGACCCTAGCACCAGATCCTACGAATCTGCTCAGAGGGGAGGTGTTAGCGGGACATAGACTAGACTAAAGCATGCTCAATGCACGATTGCTTTGGTGCACGCTGATTGGCTAATTCTTATCCAATCAGCGCTAGTCGATAGTTGGAGAATATTCTGGATTCTTCTTATGTAAAAACTATAGATATACCGACGTTTTCCCCTATTGTGCTTCCTACTGGCTTCTGACTTGCTATTTTGGAATATAATCTTTTTCCGGTTCAACCGTGTTCTGATTTGGGGACTTGTCGAGTGAATCGGTGTCCGAGAATACTAAGCAATAGGAATAGCTGGGTCATTAACCGTAAGAAACAGAATATAACAATTTTTTGAATCATTATTTCAGTAGCACCAAGTTTGTTGTTTCTTAAATATGTATCGAAAAGCTAAAAAGAAGCTTTTTAATTAACCGGCTAGTCAAGAGTCGTCAGTTTTCTCTATGGTACTGGTGTATTAGTATTCGAATCTGTGATCCAATTGTAGAAATTAGAATACTTTCTCATTTTAAATACTACTGCCTAAATCGAATTAGTTGGGAGCACAGTCCGAATCCCTTGATGTGGTAGTTAAAATCTGAACATCTGATAATTAAGCTGGAATCGTTTTCATTGTAACATCATGGTCAAAGATTTTACAACTAATCTATTCTAACTGTAAAGCTCAAAGTGTATCTCAATATTAATTAATAATCTCAAGTCAATCGATAGAATTCGACCAAAACTAAGAACTTTACAGCCTGGTAGTTGGAGGTGGTCGACAAAAAATCTTATACCCTCGATCTTGTACTATTTGACATTCGTTAACATAACTTGGCTGTAATGTTGAGCCAACTGGTACTTTCTATAAGATCCAAATCTTCTTCATTTAGCTTCACTATTTGAAACATTAACACTCAGCTATCCGACCAGTTATTTAATTCCAATAGGACTGATATACAGTCAAAATTATTTGATCACTGAGTTATAATTAACCATGATCAATTGGCTTTTGAGGATTGTTTCCCCAACTGATAGCAATAATAATATTATTATCTAAAGGTATTTTTAATGGGAAGAATACTATTGAGAGTTGTATTTTTAAATTCAGTTGATATGCTTTTACTGAATGATCATATGACGTGGAACTGTCAAGAGTTCGTCGTTATTATTTTTTAATGTTGATTATTTACTGATGATGAGAATAATAAAAATAAAAGTCATTTAATATTTGTTTATAACTTTCATTAAAAAAGTAAGTAAACACATGGTGGAAAGCGAAACGAAGCGTATTTAACCGCTGCACTAGTCTCGGCTTCGATTTCCGCATGAGTTGTCGTGGATACGCGTTGTTGAGGAGTTCATTGCTGGGACAAAAAGGCCGCCTTGTGCTTCCAGGTTTTCAATAGTGATCTAGCTAAGATTAGTTCGTGATATCAACTATGAAAATACTACACTATTGTTTGTTTATTGATGACTGTTCAGTTTATTTGGTTGTGTGTTGTGTTTTTTGTTGTGGACTGAAAGATTCAATTGTGAAGCTTTGATGGTCATCCTTTCACAGTGCTATCATCATCATTATCAATTCTCGCTTCACATAGATTGATGATTCTGTCGGTAAATGATTTTTCTTCCTGAAATTTTGTCAACTTCATTTGTCGGTATATCATCGGTGAGTAGTTCACTATGCGGAGCTCTTGCCACATAACTGGGGTGAGCTTTTCCATTGATTTTGATAAATAAACGTCTGTCTCCTTGTACAGTTAATAACGAACTTATAAAAATTGTAAATTTTGCAAATGCCCTGGTACGACCGAGGGTAGGAACAGTTCGCTCTCCCTCTCGAAATGCTCTCACATGGCCACGTGCATACAACCACTGTCAGGGAAGTTCTACTCACTGCCTTCTTGTGGCACCGGTGTTGTTTACGAAATTGAGAGGACGAAAAGCGAATGTTCAGCGCTTTAATCGGGTTAGTGGGTACGGAGGATCCACCTAGGGGAGTTGAAAACCCTGATTCCAAACCAATGATGCACGTGGGCTCCAGGATCCTGACGGAACTAATGGCGTATGAACCAATCGTTGGTGACTGGCTACCATGGAACTGTATCTCCTTACGTTGCTCAACTGCCTTGTGGACTAAACTTTTATGTCAAAGTCTCAGGGTTTGGCCCCTTAAGTAAACTACCTAGTTTGGTTTGGGAACCCAGGTATTATCATCGCCCACACAATAATCAAATGACTTGCGTGGCGCATATGTATCCGGTGGCCCTTGTACCAGTATTCATGTGATCAAATAAATAAGTAATAATTATAATTAAAAATTTTGCGTAGTTTTTGATTACATTGATCCTATTTAGTTAGTAATCCCGTACTGACCAGTCAAAATTTTATTGATAGAAAGTAATCTGTGTAATTTAATAATCAGTTTTGATTCATCTGCGTAATCCAACACTTTGTACATCTGCTTTTTATCTAACATGATGAAGTTTACCTAAGTGTTGTTTGTTTGTTTATTTATTTAGTAGTTCTTAATGATTCAAACTTGTAATTTTGCTAATTAAAAACCAAATGTTTAATCTGTTGATTAACGATAGTTTATTATGGAAGTCTGATGACCAACGTACTTTCCGGTGTTGGTCGTCGATAAATTGAGATAATACTACAACACTTTAGTCAGTCATTAGTCATAAATATCATAGAACCTGGGACATACTTTTGCACTGATGTAAGTTGTCACATCACGTCAGCGCAAGATTGAAGTTATCAAGGTAAATAAATACCCGAGTGGTAGAAGTACTAACGTTAGTATAAGTATTAGTAAAGAAAATATTGGGTAAAGAAGATGATTCGAGGAGGAAAAGTGAGTTCTTGAGACAAAAAAAAGTTATAAAGTAATTTTATAATTGAAATTTCTAGGAAAATACAGAGAGTGGATACATCTACTTTCATTCCAATCGATTATGATACATGCACTCAACATCTCTGTCCACTGGTAGTTTGCATTTATCAACATGGCTCAAACCAACAGTCAATAATTTCATGAACTAATGCCATGTTTTGGTTTAGCTACTCCTAGTTCTCTTCCAATCTATTCATACTCCGGTCAACGTTGGATGTTGAGATAACCACGAGTTAGAAATACATACTATATGTCTCAACCACCCTAGCTGGTTTATTATCTTTACGTTGTATTTTATATCTAATCCCAGCATCGTTCACTGACCTCTGTTGCAAGATTGATTGATTCACTCTGACTGATCATTGTTCAGAAATATAATATCGATAGAATTTAATCAACATTAAAGATTCGAACTACATGACACTGGTTATTGCTACTCAGTGAACAATTTAAGCTTAGTGATAAGTATGACCTTTAATAATCCTCCAAAATGACCTTTAGAGTGTAAAACCAATTTTTGGCCATTCAGAATTCAATTTAATATAAATGAATGGTTAGTTACACTACTTACTTACGCCTTTTACTCCTCGTGGAGGAGCATAGGCCACCCACCAGCACTTTCCATCCAACTCTGTCCTGGGCAATCCTTTCAGCTCTTTCCAGTTGTTATTCATCCTTTCCATATCTGCTTCAATTTCCCGACGTAATGTGTTCTTTGGTCTTCCTCTTTTCCATTTCCCTTCAGGATTCCAAGTTAGAGCTTGTCTCGTGATAAAGTTTGGTGATTTCCATAATGTATGTCGTATCCATTTCCATCGTCTTTTCCTAATTTCCTCTTCAGCTGGAAGCTGGTTTGTTCTCTCCCACAGTAGGCTGTTGCTGATGGTATCCGGTCAATGAATGTTGAGTAACTATTTATAATTACTTGTACCTTCTTGATGATGGTTGTAATAGTTCCCCAAGATTCAGCTCTGCCTGTAGCTCTTCTAGAGTTACTGCAGGTCCCCAGCCCGGGTAAAGGAGGAGGGTTAGGAATGAGGTTAGCGACCCCATTCCCTAGAAAACTAACTCGCTAGAAAAAACGCTAACTACATAAATTACATAAAACTTTTGAAAAGTGTTTAAATTAAGATTAAGAGTTAAACTTAGGAATTATAGTTAAAATTTGAAATAGGATTTTAAGAGTTGAAAAAAATATTTTTCTTAGCTTATTCACTTAGCTACAAGCTATTTATCATTGTTTTTTTTTATTAAAAAATTCCTCTTAAAACTCTAGTACCTTCTATATTAAATCAAATTATAAGTAGAGATGAATAGTGGCTAATAGTGGAATCCATAACATACATTTTGTTCCATCTGGGATTTGTCAGCTTCAACATAACCTGGTCCTACGTTGTAGCTGACTGACTGACTGACATAACCAATACAAAAAATGAATTAAAACAGATTAGTTTCATCAAGTAATGGATAGTTTTATCCTTCATCTTTCTATACACTTATTCTTTTCTTCATATATCTGTCTTACAGGTTTCTTTTACCAGTTTGTCTAGTTATATGCAATGATATTATGGCATATGTATTTGGATTTTTCTATGGGAAAACACCACTTATTAAATTGTCACCGAAAAAAACATGGGAAGGTTTTATTGGCGGTGGTTTATCCACTATACTATTTAGTATATTACTATCTTATATTTTATTAAAATATGATTATTTCGTATGTCCAATTGAATGGGATGATACAAAAGGTTCTTTAACAATGAATTGTACTAGAAATCCTGTATTTATAGCACAGATCTATGATTTACCGAAGTATTTAGTAAGTTTCCTTTTTTTATATTAATTATCACTCATTTATGATGTTCCAATATTTTGTTAGCTATGAGGAATTTTATTCATCAGTTGTTAGTGAAGTGTATTATTTTCAAGTCGGCTATTTCTAATCTCCCTCCAACGTTGTGGAAAAGGCAGCATCTCCACAGATGCTAGTTGTATAGAGAAAAACATCTTACTACTTTCCCATCGGGTTATGAGCTTGTTATTTTTCGTTTTACTTTTAACAAACCTGGATGGTATGGTAAGACCTAATGAAATGAATGCTCCAGCCAGTATAGATTTTTGTAGACCGTTGTTGCATTCCAAAATAATCACATGATAGTGATGCTTGTGAAATATATATCCTACTTACATTGTATATGCTCTGTTTACATATCCCTCTAATGACAACGGGATATAAAAAATTGAATACGAGTGTTTCGAAAGTTTATACTTCATAGATTCATTTTGAAAGATGAATAAAGAGATAAGAGATAAAGAAATAAAATATGTCAACTCGATTTCATCAAGCATGATCCACTACTTATAGTTCGACAGAAAATAGAACTAAAGACATGTGATAAAGAAAGTATGTGATAAATGCGCATACACATGTGATCTTATAAAAAACGGTTATAAGTGAATAATTGGCAAGGTCAAAAAATATATAGATAATGTGTTAAAAAGAACAGGTTAATTGTTCTGTCCAAAAGCCAGAATGACCAATATCGGTATGACATAATACTAGACGCTACCAGCTCAACTCAGTTTTCGTGATATACAAATCCAACTATTGTGTCATGATTACGACTACTATCAAGGTTTATCTTTTTTTTCAAACTTCCTCACTAATGGTTAGTTTGGGAATGATGTGCTAACAAGAAATATTAACTACCAAATTTCAATCGTATCTATTTTAGTCAAACACATGGTTCCGATGATATTCAATAATAATGGTTACACTAAGTTGTGTTGTTTGAAGTTGGAAGTGTCGATCTCTCGGGGGTTTCGATTCAATATAAGTCGTAGTAGTGTGTGCTACTGATGTCGACAGATATAAGTAGTATGTATCACCAATCGAAATTGAAATGCCTGACGGCAGAAGATTAAGAAGATCTAAAAGAAGAGAACGAGAACAGATAATGATTGCTGTGGAAACGAAAGAACAATGAAGTCTGAGACGATTGATTAACATTTTGCAAATGAAGTTTTTACTGTATGGTTCTCAGATTTTACTAAGTTGTTCTGAAATTTTGTATTCAAATATATTTGATTGTCCCATCTGTGTTCTCGTTCACTGCAATAGCAGTCGTCTATTAGTTACTGGCTTCCCGGGAAACTTGAACATTTTGGATTGAACTACATGTGACCAACTGTGCATACATCACACTTTTGAAATGTCTCAGATATATGAAGGCATAACATTTGCTCTATTTGTATACAAATTGAAATGATTTCTTGTTGATATATTTATTTTTTTAAATATTTCATTCGGATGGTTTTTAGTACTGTGTTTTTCTTCTGATTTTCTTTTCCTCCCGCCTGCATATATATCTATATCTGTATATGTATAGTTCTTTCTTCCAATACGTCAAATCACTTGGTATCCATTCTTACAGCATTGTTTAATTATCAGTATATATACATCAGTTGTTGGACCATTTGGTGGATTCTTCGCTAGCGGTTTTAAGAGAGCATTTAAAATTAAAGATTTTGGTGATTTTTTCCCTGGACACGGTGGTGTAGTTGATCGTTTTGATTGTCAATTAATAATTGGAACATTTGTATTATTTTATTATAATTCATTTGTTCGGTAAGTCGTTCAATGTTTCTGTGCATCTGTGTGCGTATGTACACACACTCTTCTTGTCTCTATGGTTTATATTTAAATGATAGGACAACATTTTCTTCACTAGTCATTATCATCATCATATTTGTGTGTGCTGACTGGGATACTACAAAAATACTCAGGACAAACTAGGTGGTTTGTCTTAGGATCTAATCCACGAAGTAGTAGAATAATGTCAATGAAATTTAGTTGCATGGTAGCCAGCAACTAAAATAGGTTTGTAGATCATTTGTTTCTTCACAATCCTTGATCCCACTATTACACTATTTAGTTTGAATTCGGAATTTTATAACTACCCTGGATAGCGTTTACTTCGTATCCACTACAAAAGAGCATTTTGATTAGAAAAGTGGACATTTTCCACAATCGGTCACACAAGATTACTTATGGGGCAAGTATCTGATTACTTTTTGTAGGTATATTGTCCAGTAATGACATCGAGATTGCATAATTCATCTAATAGTTAGGAATGTCAACTGGATTCCCACTGTTGATGTTTTCATTGGAACTAGAGTTTAAAACAGATCATTATAAATAAACACCAATACTTTCTAAAAAAATGTAATCCACTTGTAACCATATATCATACAGAGTACATCAATTCAAGGGAACTCTTATTGGAGACTAATTAAAATACAATATTAAAAATTATAAACCGACAACGGCGTCTCTATAATTTATGGACGAACCAATCAGATATAAGATAACGAGTCTTGGATTTTGGCGCGAAATTTATCCACACATTTAGCAAAATATGATTTTGGCATTATAATCGATGTTAGTTCATGATGAAAACCCTAAATCTAATTTCTAACCCTAATCATCAACTGTATATCATACTTCCAATTCCTCACACTGGTTTATAACCCTCATTTAGTCCTAGTTATGAGGTGAACACTCTCAAGGTCACTTGCTTTAATGTCACTGAAATATTGTCCGTAAATTATTGTCTCACCCCGACAACAACGAAAAAAACAACTTTTTTAACCGTTGTATGTTATTTTTTAAATTTTTAACACGAAAAATATCAGATTTTTATTCTTTTTAATTAATGTACTTTTATACATGGCGATTGTAACTTATATGAACACATGTATATGTATGTAGTTGGGTACCATATATTGAATTGGTTTCTATATGACCTGCTAATTCATTTAATAATTGAAATTAATCTGTTATAATGTTGTTGTACAGTGTAGTTTCTCAGAATTTGGTAATGATTTAATATGTAATCAGTGTATAAGTGGATTCAATTGACTAATTCAAGGGAAAGATTCCAAGTGAGGAAGAAAATTTATTGACTAAGTGATTCAGGATATATATGTTTTCATTCATAGATAAGTAATTTTTTATTAGTTTGAGACAGTTCAGTATTTTAATTGACTTTTATCTGACTCCATTTAGATGGGACGACGTAGGGCTCATCAGTTTAGTGGCCTTTTATTTGACTCCAATTGGATCGTACGAATGATTACTATCGAAATATACACCATTAACCCTCGTATATTATTATCGACTTAACTTGCGTTAGTGAATAATGGCTCATATGCTTTCTCCTATTCGTTTCGTTTTGCTCTCTCTTCTTCGCATTCTCCGTTTTGTTATTGTGATCGACTGTTCAGACCAACGATTGTGTGAAATATACATTTTCGAAATTCACTCTCGTATTTAACTTATTTAATTCCGTTATTCACTGACGCGAGTTAAGTTGATGATAATATACGAGGGTTGATGGTATGTATATTTCGATATTAATCATTTGTACGTTCCAATTGGAATCAGATAAAGGGTCATGCTAAAGTAATTATCTGTAATTTTGCAGGAACTAGTGGGCCTTAGAAAATTTAAATAAGTTATACAAATTGAACATTTGATTGGTTGGAAAAACAGAAGCACTGTTAGGAATTGAAATGAATGTATACTAACTAGATGGTGAAATACTCGAAATATATAAGAACTTGTTGTGACTTGTGGACTGCAGATTCGAGCGCAGCGAATTGCCGATCGGACCAAATACGCATAAACACATAAGAACGGCCTAGAGTTCTGATTGGTCCCGCTTGCCTGTCTAGCCCAGCCAGTTCAGAACTCAAGTCTCAGCCTCTGAGATATGAATCGTTATATTTCAAACATACTCTGTTTATATACCAATCAACCCGACCACAACGTACCAATAAAATAGAAAATAACATTTGTACAATAATTAGCAAGATGTGGCTGTGAATGAGGGAGGTAGCGATTAACGGACAGGGAATAATTCATGAATGGTAAATCGTATAATAATAGTTCATAGGTCAAAATAAAACTCATAATAAGAGGAACATGAATATGAACAGTTAGTTACATAGCAATTATACGATAGAAATATACTCATAATATTGGTCCATAAATGGATCCCAAAAATTACCATTCATTATTCTTATCGGGATACAACAGAACTATTCTGTCAACTTTATTCAAATGCTCCACATAGAAAAGTGAAGTGTATATAATGATTAGGGAACCACGAAAATGCGTATATAGACCACTGATTTCACTTATAACTTTCATTCAGTTTATGATAATCTATTCAATATGTGTGTGGAACAGTGACTTACTCGTTAAGGCATTCATTTTTCATCTAATAGTTCGTAGGTTCATACTCAGCTTCATTCAATTTAGTGTGTTCATAATATCGCTGGCGTGTTTAATCTCAAATTGATCAATAAATTAAATGGCGTTGGAAATAGTCTGTAGGTAACCAACTATTAGAAATCATTGTCATTTCATTTATTGTCCGGTCCCAAGCCCGGATAAAAGAGGAGGGTTGGGCATGTGGTTAGCGTCCCCATCCCGTAGAAAACTAACTCGCTAAAAAAACGCTAACCAGAATTAGAAATCATACCGAAACTTAATGGGTCATACAATCGTTGCTTGTTTACTTGATCATCACGAATCTACATAATTTCATTATTCACTAAAAATGCGATCGATCATGGGACATACATTAGATCAATCAAAATTCAGTGAAATTATGAAGTGACCAGGGAATGACTTTCATTTCAGAAGACTGAGACATATACCATTAGTGGCTTAACTTTGAGATAATAGAGAATATTTGTAGCCCAGGATGGGGACATTGAAGATGTTATGTGTTTTCTGAGCTAGATAGATTGTTTAGTTTTAAAGCTTTCATTGTCCTTTAGGGTAACATCATCATGAATGGTTCACAACTAAAGTCGTCCATCCCAGAGAACACTATCTCGTATATATATCACATATGTAATGGGATTCAGATTTATTTTGCATAAATTATTAACCTTAATCCTCTTTGTTTTTCTCATCGTTCACGGTTTTTCTTTTTTTTGTCTCAGAACTTATAGTCCTGTTTCTCTATTACCAAAAATCTACATTTTACCACCAAATGCACAAATTCTATTTTATCGTCTACTTACGGATGGTCTTTATAAACGTGGTCTACTTCCTAATCAATTAGTAGATGCAGTAAATGAATATTTACCATCTCCATCAGGATCAAGTTCAACAACACTACGACCAACTAGTTCATCATCGTCATCGTTGAATAATGTTGAAGTGTAGAAAGTATTTGAAAAAAAAGATCAACCAATGAGAATATAAGCCAACAAGTGATAGTGTTACAAACACACACACATACATACCTACATGCTTCTGTATGTTTGATCGTGTGTGTGTGTATTTGTATTTTATTAACACATACACACACCACTAGAGCTACAGACATACATGTGCGTTTAACTTATTTTTCATACAGAAAGATGAAATATAAAATTACTTCGATAAAAATACTTCTACTAGTGGGCTTGGTGATTGTTCAAGTTTGAATTTTACAATGAGATTCCGATTAAAAATGTGTTGTTGTTCCCCCCCCACGCTCATTATTATTATTATTATTATTATTACTTATTTGCTAACAGGCTTTTATTGTATACTTGCCCCTCGCATAGACAAGTGTATTGTAGATCATTAACATAATGAGATATGCACTCGCATATATACATATATATAAACCGCATACAGACACACACACAGTCACGCATTATGAGGTGTACGACTAACGTTAATAACTAGTCCACTTTACATTGAAATTTGTTTTCAACTTTTAAATTAATTAGTAAATATTTGTTGTACTACTTACTAATTTATACTACTTATATATGAGTAGTATGTGTTGCTAGCTGAATTGAACTGAAAGAAATCGTTAAATACAAGCAGAAATTTTAAATGTGAATCATGAAAGTGTCAATACAATTGTGTTTTAACAGAATATGTAGAATTTGTTTCTTGTTTATTATTATTGTAGAAAATAAAAAAAAGATACTGATTTACTACTCTATTCAATCCAGTCAATGTAGTATTGTTTTAATTGATCATCGTCATCATCATTTATTTTGTATTGTTCACTTATGTGGTGCATTTCCCTCTCTCTCTCTCTACGTGTAACCGGCTTGTATCTGTTTACATAACCTCATCATTATTATTATTGTCATTGTCAGTGTTGTTATCTGTTTTACACCCGTATATACTACTTACTATACACTCATTAACATACATTTTCTTATCAATAAGAGAATAAAAGTATCAAACATTAATAGGGGTGGGGAGACTGTTGCTATTTCTATTTAATTAAAGTTATGAATAATACTGTTATGTCATCCAATGATATATTCATTCTGTGATTTCTTCATTTAATATCTATGTGATACATATTGATAGAGTGTATCAATTTGACAGTGTGCATATATATATGTGGATATACATTCATATTTTCATAGATGCTTACAAAAATATTGTGTTTTCTTTTAATTTTTACATCGTATCCTGTGTCACTTTGATACAGATGCATTTAATAAAAGTAATGATCTTTACACATATATACACTTCCACTTAATCAGTATTGACACTTTCTTGTCTATATAGTTTAATGATGGATTATGTTAATTCAATTGTTGATAGTCTTATTATGTTTCCTGATTGGAAAGGGTGTATGGTCATTTTTGTTTCGTCCATCAAATCATTCCATCTAGGTTAATGTGGAAGTGATATGATTGGGCTAAAATTATTGTTCCTTAAGCATTATGGTCATTTGCTATGTTTTCTCTTTAAATGACTTAAAAAAACTCATGTTCCATGAAATGAGTAACCAAGACGTGATAACAAATGTTTCCATACATCTAATAGTATTGGAGGTTATCTAGTTCATAACTAACTAATAAATTGTGGGTTACTTCCTATGCTCAAAGTTCAAATAAGATTTATTGTGCTTATCTCAATTTATATACAAATCAGTAGTCGTTAGATATTTCAATCAAATTCAGTTTAGGACAGCGTATATGTGAATGTAGTCTGATTTAGTAATTTCATTCAGTAATGAATATTTTGTCGCCTTATGGATAAATGTAAATAGTTTCCGAGGGAATTAAAGGTACTTTTAAATTGAGAGCACACATTTTGATCTAGAAATTCATTTCTTATTGCATGATATTTCTCACTGTATTTGTTGTTATATTTTTTTGTTAACTGAGATATTACTTAAATGCTCAAATCGGAATCGGTGATCTTAAGGAATCAATTCCTGAGCCATTGGTCTAAGAGACTAACCCACATGGAAGTGATGTGATGCGAGACGACACAATCCTATAGCTAGCAGTTTCTTTTTCCCAGGATCTTTCAGCTTAATTATCCCACTGATTTGATATCCAGATTTTACCAACTAATATCAAAGTTCAGACATGGAAAACAGATAACAGTCACTGGAACCAACACAGTATCAAACTCAGAAAACTCCCCATGTATTCTGATTGATTAATAACTGTTGTGGATACAGAATAATATGCCAATGATTGTCATGTCAAGTCTATGGTGTCCTTGGACTTTAAATGTACATTTCTTATTGGTCGATGTTTATTTCACTTGTTAAATATTTTGTAAATGTTGTTCCCTATTTTATGGTACGATGTGGTGTGCTTGATTGGTATATAAAAAAAGTATGTCTGAATTACAATGATTCATATCTCCGAGGCTGTGACTTGTGTTCTGGACTCAACTGACTGGGCTAGACAGGGAAGCGAGACCAATCGAGACTCTAGGCCGTCCGTACGTGTTTTACGCGTCACTGTAACCGATCGATATAAACGCTGCGTATCAAAACCTGCAGTCTCACCCGTTGCAACAATTGGCAACTTAAATTCATAACAATTGGCGACGGGGTGGAGAAAAATTTTGAACCCTGTAATTGGACGAGATTCAGGCTAATTGTTTCGACCAATCAGCATCCAGATTGTCACCAGCGTCCTTGAGCAACATTGGTCATTATTCCTACAATTAATTTTCATTGCAGGTGCTGAAAAAATGACTACCTCTTCCGATCGATTGCAGCTTCTACTTGAGCAACAACAGCAGTGCTTCAAAAATAGCCAGTTAAATTTTTTAGAAAATTTACGAACACTGTTGGTAAATCTTTCATGTTTCGGAGATGCAACAGAAGTTGGTAAATTCATTTCTCATCTGCAGACTGAGCTGGAAAACAACTGCAGAACATATGAAGCTTTTTATAAAAGCCTCTGTGAATCCCGGACGACCAGTGATGTAAACGAGACAGTTATTCATGATCCGCCCAGTTGTCCAGAAACGTCAAATTCCGAAACATTCCCTGTCATGGGTTCAAATCCCACTGTTCCTGAAACGTGTACAGACAGTGATGTACCCAGCTCACAGGAAGATCTCTTATTAAATGCTCATAAATTAATTACCGTACCCTCTCACAAGGAAACAGGAAACAAATCGTGCAGTATACTGATTCTAGCTGCTCCAAACGGTCCTCATCAGTCAACAACAGGAGATTCTGATGAATCTTATTATCTAGATCCTCTTGTACTAGAAAATGAGTTAGATGCATCAAATGATCAGAAATCTAATGCAATTTTGATAGATGTTGATTATCGCAGTGATCAACTGTTTACAAATGAGATTTTCAACAAGTCCCGTGACAATGTTCCAGAAGAATCAAACGTTGATGACCTCATATCAAGCGACGTTGATCCCCACTATTTAATCACTTTCAGTGACTTCTCTGTTCAATGTGACAATGTTTTAAATAAAGTCAAATTAATTTTAACTTGGGATATGAGGACCCAACATTATTTCGTGGGGGAGGATGGACCCAGGAAATTTCAAAATCCGGATATCAACTCCGGATCTTCAAAAAAAGCGGGAGGTGTTGTGGATACAGAATAATATGCCAATGATTGTCATGTCAAGTCTATGGTGTCCTTGGACTTTAAATGTACATTTCTTATTGGTCGATGTTTATTTCACTTGTTAAATATTTTGTAAATGTTGTTCCCTATTTTATGGTACGATGTGGTGTGCTTGATTGGTATATAAAAAAAGTATGTCTGAATTACAATGATTCATATCTCCGAGGCTGTGACTTGTGTTCTGGACTCAACTGACTGGGCTAGACAGGGAAGCGAGACCAATCGAGACTCTAGGCCGTCCGTACGTGTTTTCCGTGTCACTGTACTGCGGTCGATCAATAAATACGCTGCTTATCAAACCCTGCAGTCTCACAACTCAAAGTCATAACAATAACAAAATCTTACGATGTCATTTTTATAGTTGGCTATGATCGTAGTATAGTATAATTTTATAGGATCTAACATGTAGTATTCATGAAAATCACATGTGTATCAAGTTAAATTTGCTGAACGAAAGTATCAATTCTTGATAATAATAATAATGTGTGATATAACTTCAAAACATTTTAGAATAATAGACGCCACATCATTTACCATAGAAAATACATTCAACAGGTTCAATCTCAAAACTGTTCATAGTTTGCTTTATTGAATGTATCTGAAGCGATAATGTTTAGAATTAGACGAATATGTTTTAATTTGCTGTATTTTTATGAACATTTTACATAAATACTTCTTTGGTCGTTTTCTTTTTTGCCGAACAATAAATAGTATTTATAAATGCCGAAATCGAATTAAACGATTGTTATGTATCGTCTGGTACGGCCGAGAGTGGGAATAGTCAGCTCTCCCTCTTGAAATGCTCTCATATGGCCACGTGCATACAACCACTGTCAGGGAAGTTCTACTCACTGCCTTCTCGCGGCACCGGTGTTATTTATGAAACTGAGAGGACGAAAAGCGAATGTCCCACACTTTAACTGGGTTGATGGACACGGAGAGTCCACCTAGGACAATTGGAAATCCTGATTCCAAACCAATGGTGCACATGAACTCCAGAATCCTGAGGTAATGAATCAATGATTGGTGACCGGCTACCATGGGACTGTATCTCCTCACGATACTCCACTGCCTTGTGGATCAGACCTTCAGGTCGAAGGCTCCGGGTGTGGCCCTCTAAGAAAACCACCTGCTTCGGTTTGGGCACCCGAGTAGTATCACAGCCCTCACACTTATCGAATAAGATTTGTGTGGCGCATATGTATTTGGTGCCTCCTTGTACCAATCTTTATGTGTTTAAATAAATAAATATTGTCTAGTACTGAATGATTGTTCTACTCATCCTGACCATTTTAATGAATATCGGAATATGAAAGTGTATTGCCTTTTTGCTGTAGTGTGAAAACAACTCGTCTTACTTTTAAAGTAAATCAGTTTTTATGTTTGGATTCTTTGATTAGCGATTGACTGGGCATGATATTGAATAAGATTGAACTCGGAGGATAGGATTTGTTGATTCGATGTCACATGTTAAACATATTTATTTCGATGTAAACACTTATTTTTTCCGAGGAACTAAGAAGAGAGGTTTGGTATGATAAAGGTCAACTGTATATCTATACTATCTAGCGCATTTAAAATGCTACCAATACAACCACTAAACGGAACTGATATTTGTTTGAAACTCAATAAAATAGCATCTCGGGAAGTTGATTGATAATAATCTGAAGCTGTATGTCATGTCATACTTCACAAATCGTGTCACATTTTGTCAGATTATTAACAGTACCAATTGAGGTAAAATAAGAGTTTTGTTGTCGTGAATTGTTTTTTATTTTTGTAAGATAGTAGAGATTTATCGCACTAAAGAAGGCTTATGAACTAGCTTATTCAACTCCTTAATTTAGTCTTCATTAATACTATAGTGTGCACATCTTTCATGAGAAGCTATTTCTCTTCTAATACTAAGCTTCTTTACATTTCTATGTTCTTTTGTGATTAGCTGAATGAAGTCTTTTTTCCATAAAGTCACATGTACCATTTTGTAAATTAATTTTTGTGTAGTTCTCTCATTGAGTCGCAACACCCAAAGCTTCGAAAATATTTAAGAGCAAATATTTATGACTACGATGAATAGACGTAAAAAACTAAGTAAATTAATACATGATACATGACTGTGCTTATATGCCGTCTCAGGGTTGAACAGTAGTTGAGAGATGCTTAATAAAGCACACTATCGGATAAAGCTAATTACGGCGTTTATTCATTTCAGTCTCCTTAATCTCATAGCAAGTAAGAATAATGTATAGGAAACATGTGTGTCTGTATATGAACCAGGCGATTGTGAAATATAGAACGAAGTTTGCATTTTTCACAGGATTCTTTTTTATAACTGGTAACTATAAATCAATTAAGAACTGATTACAGGTTACCAAATTGTAGTTGTAACTGGGTATTTTGTTGGGTTTTTTTTGTGGAAAAACTTTAGGAAATTTTTTTTGTATTAAGTTACTCCAATTGATTAGCTTTCAATCGATTATATCTTCTCCATTCCATTTGCCATTGTCGAAGTTCACAAACTTCTGGGATTTTTCTTACCTATAAGTACAAGAATGAAGTATTTATTCATAAAATGAAATGTGGTTAGAAATAGAACTTTTTTTCGTATAAACTCACTTAGATGATTGTAAAAATAATTCAAATCATTGAGTAGTTCAATCAGTTCGTTATAAGCAATATACAACCTGATACATGTATGCATCGAATCAAGTTACCATGTCTTATCAGTACAGTAATTTTATTTTAACACATAGATATTGGTACAAGGAGGCACCAAATACATATGCGCCACACAAATCTCATTCGATAAGTGTGAGGGCTGTGATACTACCCGGGTGCCCAAACCGAAGCAGGTGGTTTTCTTAGAGGGCCACACCCGGAGCCTTCGACCTGAAGGTCTGATCCACAAGGCAGTGGAGTATCGTGAGGAGATACAGTCCCATGGAAGCCGGTGACCAACGATTGGTTCATACGCCATTTGTTCCCGCAGGATACTGGAGCCCATGTGCACCATTGGTTTGGAATCCGGTTAAAGCACCGGACATTTGTTTTCGTCCTCGAGAAGGCAGTGGGTAGGACTTCCCTGGCAGAGGCTATATACGTGTGGCCATATGAGAGCATTTCGAGAGGGAGAGCGGACTCTCCCCACTCTCGGCCGTACTAGGGCATTTGAGGGCTAAGGTGAAAATATCAATAGAAATACAGTAATCAGTAATGACAGTATAAATTGTAATGAAAAAAAATTTGGCATAAACTTTATGATTTGAGAAGTAAGAATAATTTCATGGTATAAAATTTTCGATAATTTTGGAACTCAAGACTTAAGAGAAGACGAACATTCAACACATTTAAGTCACTATGAGGAATGTCACTCAACATCTTCCTAGAATCCCTCTGATTTATTCAAACACAAGCCTATATTGCAAGTCAATGTATGTGGTGAATGTATATACGGAATAAATGTCCCAGAAACCTGAGTCAATAATGATTCATAGTTATATCAATTATCTTGCCATCTTTACGTAGCACGCTTTGTCTAACCTCAGCACATATAGTAAAATATGTAGTCTGAAAATCAAAGGTTTGTACATTTACTCGTCATCTACAAATGGTTCCGAGTTAGTTATATTGTAGTGAACGAGAACACAAGTGGGGTCAATCAAATATATTTGAACACAAAATTATCGAACAACTTAGTGAAATCTGAGAATCATACGGCAAATACTTCATTTGCAAAATGTCGATCAATCATCTCAGATTGTGTATTCATATGAGATATCTCAAAATAGAAGATAAAAACTTCAAATATACATTAGTACTCTATGAATCCTACGGTTCATCTTCAATTGTTACCAGTTCGTATTAACTGCTATCTATGTGCCAAACAATTACTAGCAATCCTGTTAATTACTTAATCTTTAGTTCTGGTTGACCATCAATATTAACGATTATTTGTACTAATAACTGTGTTTCTCCAATCAGAATAGTGTTGATAAAAGCAAGTGGACATATAGGATTTCTCATTTGAAATCAGTTAAGAAATTCTATAAGATGAAGAGATAAACCATAAAGTGGTAGTATAACGGAACAACTATACTGAATAACATTTTGTTTAAGTCAAACAGTGATTTAATGGTTGGATTAGTTCACCAATAAGTCACATACGTTTAAACCCCAGTCTAACTACATCGTTTTAAGCAGACAGTTAGTATCTCTGGCCGCCATACAAACTATAATTAAATATAACTCACTAAGTTTACATTTATGTTTTCAGAGTTCAGTCACACTTTTTCAAACCAACGTAAGTGGAGCGAGATTCAAATGTCACCTATTATTAGTCGAATGTACACATACAAACCGGTCACTAAAAAAATCGATTTGGCGAGACTATAATTAATGGATGAATCAATCAGATTAAGGGTAATAGGTCTTGAACTTTGGCGTAAAATTCATTCATCCATTTGGCTAAATAGCATTTTGGTATTTTAACTGATGTCAGTTCGTGATGAAAACCTTAAATCTAATTCTTAACTCTAACCATCAACTATAAACCATAATTCTAATTCCTCACATTGGTTTATAATCCTCATTTAGCCCTAGCGAGCAGATAAACATTCTCAAGGTTATTATAGCGTCGCTCAAAACTCGTCCATAAATTATAATCTTACCATTGATTTAAGGTAAAAAAAACTTTCTTTGATGGAGATTTGTTCTCTGAGCTGGGTGGTTTGGTCATGAAGCTTTCATCGTTCTTTTGAACAACATCTACAGCACAAAATTCAGGTGCTGATGGTGTCATTCAAAAGAACGATGAAAGCTCCCCTACCAAACCATCCACCTCAGAGAACAAAACTTCATCAAAATCGTCCACCTGAGCTACAAATCTTCTCCACCATCTCAAAAACTTCTTTTAAAATGTCATCATCTATGACAAAAGAATTAATATTTTAATTCATTCACTAGAATGGTTACTATTCACATTGATGACACGTGACGATGATAGAAGTTTAAACCAATGACTGAACACTTCCATCTCAAGGTCATAAAATATAAATTCAGGCGAGATTATAATTTACAGATAAGCCAATCATATTTAAGATAACAAATGTTGGATTTTAGCGCGTGATTCATTCATCCATTTGTCTAAATATCACTATAGCATTATAGTTGATGTCAGTTCTTGATGAAAACATTGAATCTTATTTCTAACCTTAACGTTTAACTGTAAATCCCAATCTTAATTCTTCACACTAATATATAACTCTCATCTAACCATAGTCGGTAGGTGGACATTTCAAAGTTATTTTAGTATTGCTTAAAGGTCGTGCATAAATTATGATCTCACCAAAATTTATATGACCATTTTGCAATGAAGGTCAAACTGATAAATTCAAATTTTGTTTATGTTAGAATAAATAAATAATGTATGAGGAATCAACAGATAGTAAGTCAGTCAGCTACAACGTAGGACCAGGCACATATATGCATCGATCCAAGTTACCATACCTCATTAACACAACAAGATGAACATCAAATTCATAGAGGTAGTCACTTCAATGATAGTCATGCATTAAACGAAGAATGTATATAAGGTATAAAGTAATTTTAATTTCATGGTTTATGGGAAGACAAAGACTGCATACACCTAAGCCAATGTGATCGATTCTGAGCCATATCACTGAGAGTCTTCAACAATTGATTACGACGGTCACACGGACCCCAACCAAGTGGTCGGCATCTACCAATATGGCTTAGACTAGAAGTGAGTGACTTCAAGGAACGATGCTAAGTTTGGGTTTGGCTGCCCCTAACTTTCTTCCAACCATCTTCAACACTAGTCAGCAACCAACAGATAGTACTTTATATTGATTCGAAAATATCGTTTATACGAATTTATTTTGTTAGAATAAACACAAAAACGTAAATTCAGTCATTAAAGTCTAAGGTATGAATTGTATTTTTTTTCCATTTTTCATTCTTACAAAACTATCTAAATCTGTTATTTAATATAATATACCCTTGTGGGCGAGGGTAATTTTACATTGGTTTTCAGGAGAACCAGACACCATCCAGGTTTAAATTTTATAACCCGAGCAGTACAGCTCAGTCCTGCTCCACAGGAGAACCAGACACTATATAGGCTTTAACGCTACAATCGGAATAGTACAACTCAATCCTGTAGCGCAACCACACAGGTACCAAGCATCCTAGTAGACTAAGTCTGTGGGTTTTTTTTTAATTATCATAGATTAAGTGAACAGAGCCAAACAAAATCCAGAGCAACATTTCAACGTGATAATATGTTAAAGATTTGAAGGAAATGAAATAATGAATACATTAGTTGTTTTGAAATCGATTCTTTTTTTTATAGCAAAATTTAATGTTTCCAACCATAAAGTTTCTAGTGTATTGTGAAGTCAAGTGAAAATCCTCCAGTCGGATCTTTTTACTGGTACGCATATTTTGAATCATTATCAAACAACTTCATACATGTTCATGATATTGGGAAATTGTTACTCATTAATTAAATTTCTATTCTACTAAATGTGTAATGAACGAACGTTCAGTTGTGAAAGACCAATTTATTGTTTGTTGTCAAATTACACAATGGTTTAGTAAAATGTGAAAATCATACATCATTTACATATTCTCTTACAAGTTTCATTGCTCTTTCATTTCTGTTTTTATTATGATTGTTTTCAGTTTCTGTTATATCCTAGCGAAGATTAACTTACCAGTAACTTCTAAAACCTATTATTCAACTAATATTATCTATATATTGTTATTGTATAACTATTCAGTAACTAGACTGTGTATATCCATATTGCTCTTATTATAAGCTTCATTTCGACCTATAGATTATTATTGTACGACTTGCTGTTCTTAAGTTATGTTCAGTTTATTGATTACAGTCTCCCACGTTCACAGCCATATTTTGGCTTTATTTTGTATAAATTGTATTTCCTATTTTATGGTGCGTTGGAGTCTGTTTGCAAGGTATATAAACCAAGTATGTCTGTGGCAAAGTGGAAGCTGTTATTATTGTTGTGGTTTCAACTGGGCGGACTAGGCGAGCAAAGGACCAATAGGACGTTAGGCTGATCAGACCACTCGGAAGTCATTAGTTTAGTACAGTACAAGAGTGAATAAGTCATATTTCGATTGACGAATAAATTACGTGGTAACTAGCTGGACTTAAAGTCACAAAGGTTTCCTTCCCTATTCTGTTCATTTCAATATTCTGAACCTTATGCTAGCAGACATTTCACATTTGAAAGGTGTCGCATACTATTTATATCTGCAAATATGAGTAGCATACACCACAAATGAGTCAGTTTAATTTAATTTTTCCCACATTTTAGTAGTATTATAGAAGAATGTGAAAGCAAAGTGATAAGATATAACTAAATTGATTTCAATACTATTTGATTCCAGGTATCGCTGAACCTAAGTTTCATGGTAATTCGATTTCATCAGTAAGACACATCTGAAGTATTATTAAAAAAACCTTGATCGACAGACTTCCATCAATACTAAGG